CCATAACGTATGACCTATCACAACAAGGTCAAATATAAACAACATTAGGCCTCATTAAAGTGTCAGATATGCAACTTAAATTAATTTCACAGGTTCATCACTTAAACTAGGAAAGTTTAGTACTGTTGTCAGGGTAAAACAATTTGAGTGTGAGTCTGCCACGACCTTAACATGCATAAACTAAGTCTCCTATGGGATTAGCCCACCGACTATCCTCCAATTACTACGCATCCTTCTAGTAATCAGTTAAGAATTTTAACTCTCGATTTCATATCTTACTCAATTGGTCACTTTATATATGTATGGCTCAACCTAACACCCATACGGATTCCACATAAAAATTAGAAGAGACAACTCAAAATAACTATCTATTAAGAAGTCAACTTATTTACTCAAGGGTTCTCAATTTATATCCATACAATGAGATATTCAATTTTTTTTAAATAAATTTTCTTTCCTCTAATTTTTATGTATCTCAACTTAAGACATGTATTTTCACCACATATTTAACAACTTAGCAACTTGCATACATCATACAACTTTGCAAATTAATCATATATCAACTTACATCTTGGTGACATAAATATCACTATACATTATATCAACTGAATGCATAATAAGTTATAATCATACAATGCTCATCATATAATGTAAACATCATTCTTCAACTATTAATCGACATAAAACATCACATGTTATTAAACAATTCACGTCTGAAGCCATCCCATGAGTTTTCAATGCCATTGAGATAGGGAGCTTTATGTCTCTCCTATGTCCAATGTCAATCCACCAGTGTTCAGTGTGGATGAGAGAAAGAGCTTCTTAGTCTCTCACACTAACGTAGCAAAACCTAGGCTTGGTTCCATTTTAAGCAAAGAGCCTTTGTCTGATTCACGTCTGATGTCACTCTATTGATGTTGACACTAATTCAGACAAAGACGATTCTCTCTCCTCACGTTCAGTGCCACCGATTATGCACTCAATGTCATCAAATTTGAGAATCCTTGATTTGAGCCATGTTCAGCACCATGAAGGTACGTTTAACGTGATGAAGAATTCTCGCCATGAAGGTGTGCTTGGTGTGATGAAGAATTTTGCACTTGGTAGGAAGAAATGCAAAGTCTCCGGGATTGTCATACGACTTCCACCAAACTCAAATTCTCAATTCCAAAAGTTTTGAATCCTCAACTCAAACACTTGGGATCAGTTGTAGGAAAGAATAAGAAAGATTTTTAGTAAAAAAGAGGGAGAAGAAAGATTTGGATTCTAGAGAACTTCTTTCTAACTTTTCTATAAATTTTCTTAAAATATGAACTTATGAGATTCATATCTTAAGAAAATCTTATATATTATTCCTTAAGATGAACCAACTTAATTTAGTCTGAGACTATTTCAAAAATAACTTAACTCTCAAGATCCCTCGATCCCTCGAGAGTTCTAAAACAACAACACTAACAACAAATAAAAATTAATCAAAAGTTAAAAACATACATCGTTACATTTTCTTTAAAAAAAATTATTACTATTTCATCTTTTTTTAATTTTTGAGATGTTAACCCATCAACAAAGTAAACTATATTTTTATCCCATATATTCATAGCAAGCCAACCCACTTGATTGTTTTGCCATTTCTAATAAAAATAATTTACAAAACAATGTATCAAAGGCATGCTTGTTTAATTATGTATAGAATGTAAACTAAGAGGAAAAGAGGATGGAATCGAATGGCTGTCTTTCAACGCGTTAGTGGTTGAGCTTATTTTAAAGATAATTATAACTCTCTCAGAATTTAATATAAAAAAAATTCTAAACAAAATATATCAAAAATGAATTTAGATGTGTCAAATTAAAGGAAATCTTAGCCATTGAAAAGACTTAAATTGTGAGTCAGTTTTAACCAAATGTTTTAAAAAACAATTATCAAATCTACCCAAAAAAAAATTTAATTGAAGCATAATAACCAAAGTTAACTCTAATTAAGCTAGCTTCTCGCAGAATCACTACTTTTGAATAGAAAGTCCGTAAAGCAACAATGATGATTATATGCTTTGCTACTAGCCATTGGGATGCCAATTTAGTGGGTATTTTGAATGTCATGCTTTATTTCAACAAAAAATAACTATATATTATTATAGCTGAAGTATAATTATTAAAGTGGACAAACAATGACAAAAAGATAATGTCAAAATGAGAATGATTTGGTGAAGTTAACTACAACTCTTATACATTTATCTACTTTAACAATAATTAATAAAATAATGGCCTCTTAATTAGTTTTTTCATACTTGAGTCTGTCAAGTTCATCGTGGGCTGCTCAACCAGTTAAATACATTTGATATAACATTTGTGGTTTCCACGTGGTTCGATTCGTTTCTATAAAAAAATATCACATAGAGTAACATATTAAAAAGTACTAATATATATATATATATATATA